CCCCCCCCCCCCGTGTCCCGGGGCGCCAGGGTGGGGCGCCCGTTCTGGGACCTCTGAGACCAGGAGAGGAGAGTGCCCACTCCAGCCTCCGCAGCTGCCCAGGGGCACTGGCTGGGATGGCTGGCTGGGAGGGCCGGGTGGCTTTTGTTTCCTCTGCTCTTCCTGTCCTGAAAACTGGCAGCCCTGACCCCCTCTCTCCATGCTGTCCAGGGCAGGTGCCCAGCTTGCTGGGGTATACCCGGGGCAGCTAGGGGCAGAGCGGCAGGGGAGCTGGAGAAGGTTGTGGGCCTGGGCTAGAGGAGGGCAGCAGGGAGAGGTGTGGGAGAAGTGGACAGAGGTTAGTCGGTGGCTGGCAGGTCTGCTGGGCTGGGTCCCTCTGACGTTTGCAAAGAAGGTAGGGGGAGCAGTCACCCAGAGTCAAAGCCCCACCCTGTTCGCCTGGGCAGAGCCTGCTGGTGTGACATGGCAGTCCATCTAGGGCCCGGGGAGTCCCTGACTTTCCTCATAGCCAAGCACACACCTGCCCTCCCAAAGTCGGCTCTGGACGCCCTTCCTCCAGGAAGCTCTCCTGACCTCTTCCAATAGCCCGGGGGCCGTGCTCACCACTGTAACCTCCCGCAGTGCCAGCTCCCTTTCCCACTGCTCAGCCCTTGGGTGGCCCTCTAGCTGGGGTGTAGAGAATCTCCAAGGCTTCAGGGGCGGGCTCTAGGCTCCTCTCCTGCCCCATGGCCTTGCCACACCCTGAGCCTGAGGACTGGGCACAGTGTGGTCTGGAGGCTGCTGCTTGGGGCACAGCTGGAGTGAAGGCTGAGGATCTCCATCCTGCGGGCTGAGGGGACATATGACCGTGGGGAAGGGTGCCCGGCTCCTTGGCCTGAGTTCTGTGGATAATAGAGAAGCTGAGGTGGGAAAGCTGGAGGGGACAGCTGTGGTGGGCAGGGGCAGAGGGGCTGAGCAGAGATCCCGTGGGGAGAGCTCTGAGCCTGTGTGTGGTGTGTGGGTCACAGTGTGCGTGTCCGTGCACATGCACGTCCCTGGGTGTGCTGCAGCGTGACACCACTCCGGCTGGTGATCACATACTCCCCGGTGCACCAAAAGGCCCGGCAGCCTGGTGGGGCCCAGGTGGCCTGGAGAGCGTGTGTTTGAGTGCTTTAAATACTAAGTACAAGTTGAATCAAACAAAACACTCCTGAGTTTGTTTAGGCCCCTAACTGCCATCATATGGCCTCTGAGGATAATGTGGAGGTTAAATGGCGGAGTGGAGGAGTCTGGACTGTGGGGGAAGTTCAGGCTTCCCCACTGCTGGCTGTGGGGTGAGGAAGGCCCTGCAGTCTTCTCATCTGAGAAATGGGAATAATGCAGTCATGCCCCTCTGGGTTCTTGCACAGATTAAGTAGCAATCATGTACATGAAGGACTGGGCATGCGCCTGCTGTGTACCCAGCCCGTGGGCACAGGAGGGTGAGTGAGAGCTGAGCTCAGCCCTCCAGTGCCCATACCTGCATGTGTAATGGTGCCCCAGGGAGGACACAGTCTGCAGCCTGTATTGTGTAGCATGTGGGTGTGGTGCCCACGCCCCAAAGCTGCAGGGAAGTCATTTCCCACAGGAACACCCCTGCTGGCTGGCTCAGGGCTCCCTTACTCCAGGCCCCTCTTAGGTGGCGACTCCTCCCCAACGGACTTTGCCTGGGGATATGTCGGAACCTCTTGGGGGCCATATGCCTTGGAGGGAGGCAGGCAATGCCTTCCTGCCTCTGCCACGGGCCTCCCCAGCATTGTGGGGACCTCAGCTCCCCAGACCCTGGGGCTGCCCCTTCCCCACAGGCCAGGAACTAGGAAAGGATCCAAGGAGGGCCAGTAGGCATGCTCTTAGGCCACTGGGGGATGGGCCCTAGGGAAAGGCCCCAGCCCTAACCTTTGCCCTCAGCTCTGCGGGCCTGGTGGCTCTGGTCAGCCCCTTCTCTTCCTGAAGCAGCAAGCTACCTACCCATCTTTTAAAAGGCCTTTGAATGCCAGTGCCTGCCCTGAAGGTCAATGATAAGTTGAAATGGCTTAATAGTGAAGCAAAGACAGGTGGGGCTCCTGGGGGGTCCTGGCACCTGTGTATAGTATGTGTGTGTGAGTAGGCAGGAGGGGCTTGTCATTAGCTCTGGGCTAACTTTTGAAAAGTGATCTGCTCAGGAGCCTCCAAAATCCATTCTGGGGCAGGCAGAGGGGACAGGACAAGGGACCCTACCTCTGAAGGGTTAGGCAGCCATTGCAGAACCTAGTGGAGTGCAGTGAGCTGCCCCCTCCCCTCTGCAGCCCCCAAACTTTGGGAGGGGCCCCTCTCCTTATGGCCAAATCACCCTCACCAAAGGGTAAGTGGGCCAAGACAGAGAGGGGGCAGGAAGGTAGAGATCCTTACGAGGTGGCCTTCCTGTTGGGTGAGACCTGACCCAGACCCACTGGGGTCTGAAAGGTGAAGACAGAATAAGCCTGCCCTGTCCTCAGGGACACCAGCACAAGAGACTTGGCTATGGGACAAGCTCAGAGCCCAGAGTCCTCACTGGTGAGAGCGTGGGGGCCTCTCTCAGCAGGGCACAGGCCTGCAGGGTAGCCACTCCAGTGGAGGCAGCAAAGGGGCAGTGGAAAGGAGGAGCTGGGGCCCTGGGTCCTGCCACTCGCCAGGCCGTTGGCCTTGGAACACCACTGAAGCTCTCAGAGTCTCCACTTCCACACCCGTGCAATGGGAATGGTGGAGCCCTGATGGGGACCTAGTGAACTGACAGTGGGACCAGAGCTGTGGAACGTCATGTCAATTACTGCTGTTACACAGGAGGAAGAGGATGGCAGGGCCGCATCCCAGCCTGCGGACCAGGCTCCTGCTGGCCGCCCTGCTGAGCATGAGCCTCCCTGGGCACATGGGTAAGTCCAGCACCTCCCTGCAGCACCCCGCTTAGTACCTTTCAAGGCACTGCCCTCACACAGGTGCCTCTCACGGGGTCTTGCCAGGACACTCACTTAGCCATTCAACAACCAACCACTGCCCACTTTGAGGGCTGGGGAACTGTAAGCCTGAGCAGCGTGGACAAGAACACCGAGGGGAGGGCGGCTTGGTCTAGAGGAGAGAGAAGACTCCCGCCCAGAGCACCAAGGCACTTGCAGGATGTGCTGAGGCCTTGAAAGCCAAGCTAAAAAGCTTTATAGGAATTTGGAGGAGAGAGACCAGTGGCCTATCACCTGCTCTCTGAGTGTCTGCAGTCAACAAAGGCCTGGGCCAGCTCCTACCAATGAAATTTTGCCTGGCAGTACAGGCCACGTTCACAGCTTGAAATAGGCCACGGTAGGAGTATTTGCACCCTGGACACTGGCAAATGGTGCAAGTGAGGGCCTCCCCTGCCTCACCAGAGCCACTGGTAAGCATTGACAGCACCCCTGGAGCCCAGGAGATCACCCACTGTGTACACTGGGTGCATGTAGTAGGTCCCAGTATGATTTTAACTGGAGAGAAGCAAAGGGAGCCCCAATAATCTTGCAGAAATGCTGGAGTTCTTTATGTTTTTTACTTCCTTTGTTTACCAACAACTTACTGTAAGTCCGGCTTGGGCTGGGCCCTGGAGATACAGTCATAAACAAGGTACACAGTCCCCTTTACCATGGAAGGGCAGGCGCAGGGGATGGCCAGGGTGGCCCCACCAGCAAGTGGGCCAGGCCTCTGTCTCAGCCCCCACCATCCTTCCCTCCAGACTTGAGTGGAAAGTTCAGGTTTAAGACCTAGCTCTGCCATTTTTTAGCTGGGCTACCCGAGGGGAAGACCACATACCTGCTGGCCTTCATTCCTTCCTCGGTGACTGGGGAGAGAATCCCCACCTCCCTCAAATAAGGGTGTGCGTGGGAAAGGGCTCAGTCACTAGTGAGGTCCATCTCGGTGGGTCTGCCTGCTTGTCCTCAGCTAACCGTTGCAAAAAGGCCCCGGTGAGTAGCTGCACAGAGTGCATCCGCGTGGACAAGGACTGCGCCTACTGCACTGACGAGGTGAGCGGCTGCCAGCCCGCCTGCCTTCGTGGGGGCCCCAGCCTGGGAGCCCCGCCCTGCCATGCCCCAGCCCTGGCTCTGGCCACGTCCACACTTGCCACACCCTCAGCCCAGCCTTGGGCCAGGCAGGTGTCGGAGAGCAGGGGAGGGTCAGGAAAGTCAGGGGGAATAAATCCAGGGTTGGGGCAGTGAGGGGATGGGCACTGCCTCCTGACCCTGTTTCCTTCCGGCCAGATGTTCAAGGACAGACGCTGCAATACCGTGATAGAGCTGCTGGCCGCAGGCTGCCGGCAGGAGAGCATGGTGGTCATGAATGGCAACTTCAAGATCACAGAGGTGCCTGGAGCAGGGGTCAAGGGAGGGGGGCCTGCCATGCTCAGGGCTGGCTGTTTATGGAGGTCCATTCTGTCCCCTGGCTGAGCCGAAAGGCTCCCCGTAGGGCCTCTGGAGTGACCATCCAAGCCAGCTGCCCCCTTCCCTGAACACAGGAGACCCAGATCGACACCACCCTGCGACGCAGCCAGGTGTCCCCCCAGGGCCTGTGGGCCCGGCTGCGGCCGGGCGAGGAGCAACACTTCCGGCTGGACGTGTTCGAGCCCCTGGAGAGCCCCGTGGACCTGTACATCCTCATGGACTTCTCCTACTCCATGTCTGATGATCTGGACAACCTGAAGAACATGGGGGAGAAGCTGGGTACGGCCGGGCCCGTGTGGAGGACGGCAGGCCAGGGCATGACGGGGTGGCCTCCCCCAGCTGGCGGGGCACTTCCTCAGGAGACCAGGGCTCAGCATAGCTGCAGCCACCTGAAAGGAAAGACAGGACATCTGAGCCCCCCAAGAATACACTCCCCCCTCAGGGGGGGTCCTAGTCAGACCCCGCTGACCACTACGGACCTCAGAGAAGGCCCAGGCCTAGTGGGCAGCAGAGCCCTCTGGTCCCGGGAGCACCCGCAGCCCTGAGGCTGAGGTGCAGTCCCAGCTCTGCACCTGCCTCCATCCGACGCGTTCCACGCAGGACTCTGGGTCCCCCGAGTCCCATTTCCCTCATCTGTAAACAGGGACAAAGGCTACTATAAGCATGAAATGATACCCAACACGTGATGTCCCTCCTCCTTCCCATGCCAGCCCTGTGCCCCCGTGTTGAGGCGGGATGTGAGGGTTCAGCTGCTCCCTCTTTTTCCTGTTGACTCCCAGCTGGGGTCCTGAGCCAGCTCACCAGCGACTACACTATTGGATTTGGCAAGTTTGTGGACAAAGTGAGCGTCCCTCAGACAGACATGAGGCCTGAGAAGTGAGTGACCCTCTGGGCAGGGGTCTGGGCCGTGTGGCCCACCCACTCTGCACCCAGGCACTTAAAAGTCTTCTGGTTGAAATGAGCCTCGGGGGTGGTCCCCAGAGAGGGTGGGCATGGTGTCTGTGGGGTCTCCTCCTGACTCTCTCTCCCTGCACCCCCTGCCCAGGCTGAAGGAGCCCTGGCCCAACAGTGACCCCCCCTTCTCCTTCAAGAACGTCATCAGCCTGACGAGAGATGTGAAGGAGTTCCGCAGTAAACTGCAAGGGGAACGGGTCTCAGGCAACCTGGACGCTCCTGAAGGAGGTTTTGATGCCATGCTGCAGACGGCCGTGTGCACGGTGAGTGCCAGCGAGAGTCTGCCAGCCCAGACCAGGACTGTGCTTCTCCCCAAGGGCACCAGCTGCCCACTGGCCTGCTCTGGGGCCAAGCTGAGGCCCTCTGCCCAAAGACACCTCTAGGTGGCCCTTGATTACGATCTGGGTTTAGCTGTGCCATGCAGCAAGGTCCCCCAACCTGAGCAGTCACAGCCTGCTTCTGTGTTGGCCAGCAGGGCAGACATAAGTCCTGGGGTTCTGGAATCTTCAGTGCCCCGAAGCCGGCCTCCCACCCAATCTCCCTGCTGATGCCACAAATCTCCAACTGTTTCCTGTCCCCCATCCTCGGTTTCTCTTTCTCACTGTCATCACTCACGTGCTGTCTGTCACATTCATGGTGGCTGCATGCTGTCCATCCTGTGGCTTAGCTGCGCCCATGCTGGGACCCACGTTCACTGTCAGGCGCTACACTTCGATGCATATTGCCAACAGGCAGAAAGCTTGATGGGCATCCCCTCTTTGTCCTTCCCAGATGGACATTGGCTGGCGCTCCGACAGCACCCACTTGCTGGTGTTCTCCACCGAGTCGGCCTTCCACTATGAGGCTGACGGCGCCAACGTGCTGGCCGGCATCATGAGCCGCAATGATGAGCAATGCCACCTGGACGCCACGGGCACCTACACCCGGTTCAAGGCCCAGGACTACCCATCTGTGCCCACCCTGGTGCGCCTGCTCGGCAGATACAACATCATCCCCATCTTCGCTGTCACCAACCACTCCTACAGCTACTATGATGTACGGGGCAGGGTCTCCCTGGGCGAGAGGGTTCGGGATTGGGGGCGGTCCATGGACCTTCCCAGACATCGTCCCTTCCTTCCTACCTTTCTTCTTCCCTCCTTTCCTTTCTTCCTTCCTTCCCAAAAGTTTTGGCCCCTCCCACCCTGGGAGTGGGCCCTGGTGGGAAGGGGGAGGTCATATGCCCACCCCCAACCCAGCTCCCAAGCAGGGGAGAGCTAACAGGGCAGGAGCTGGAATATACCAGCAGGGTCTGGGCCTTAGCTTCCCCCTCTGCAAAGTGGGAATAACCCCAAAGCTGCTACCTGGAATCAACAAGATGGTATTTGTCAAGGACTTAGCCCCGGCGTGACATTCTCTCCTGCAGAAGCTGCACACGTATTTCCCCGTCTCCTCGCTGGGGCTGCTGCAGGAGGACTCATCTAACATTGTGGATCTGCTGGAGGAGGCTTTCAATGTGAGGGGTGGCGTGGGCCCCAAACTGAGTCCTTCTGGGCAGGGCTGCACAAGAGGCCGAATGGGCAAAAGATGTCTTAAGCCAGGGTTGAGAAATGGGATAGGCCAGTGAGGAAGGGTCTCTGGTGGTCCCTGGGGGTCCTGAGGAGCACACCTTAGCCTGGCCCCCGGTTCCTGCAGGTTCTGCCACCTCGACCCCTGCCCCCCACCACCCCCGTCTTCCATGCACGTGGAGGTGGAGCAGAGCCAGGCCAGGCCAGAGTGGGTGAGCCCAGACTCCCTGCCCAGACCACTGCTCGCCTGCCCTCCTTTAGCGAATTCGCTCCAACCTGGACATCCGAGCCCTGGAAAGCCCCCGAGGCCTACAGACAGAAGTCACCTCCAAAAAGTTCCCAAAGACAGAGACTGGGTCCTTTCGCATCCAGCGGGGAGAAGTGGTAGGCCTCTGTGGGGACCTCGGGGCAGGGAGGGCATGCACAGCACCCGGAGGTGGGGGTTCGGCCCAAGCAGAGGTCTAGTGTGGCCTCCAAGTCAGATAGGCCCGGGTTCAAATCCCCCAGTCAGACACTTGGCTGAGCTTGGAGCTGTTTGTCTTGTCCTCATTGGACAGAGGGGTTAATGAGCATGGAGCTCAGGGGGTTGCTCAGGTGCATGAATGGCCCGTATGCAGTTCTTGTTTCTGTTGTTGGTATTGTCATTCTGACTGTGCCTGGAAGGAGTAAGTCCTCAGCCCTGAAGAACGGTGAGCAGGATGCTGGTGTCAGGGATCCAGGAACATCCTTGAAGCTTGAGGGCCAAGAGCCTTCCCCTCCTGGTTGTCTGGCCAGGCCCGCCTTGGATGACAGTGGGGTCCCTGCAGGGCACCTATGACGTGAAGCTGCGGGCCATCGAGCATCTGGACGGGAAGCATGTGTGCCAGCTGTCAGCTGCGGACCAGAAGGGCAGCATCCACCTGAAGCCCTCCTTCTCTGACGGGCTCAGGATGGACGTGGGCATCATCTGTGACGTGTGTCCCTGTGAGCTGGTACGACATGGCCCTGCCAGGTGGGAGGGAGGAGCAGGGCTGACCGCCCTGGCCCTGAGTACTGGAGCAGAGCCTCCTGCGGCCACATCTCCCTTGTGGGGCACCCTGCGGGACAGAGGCAGCAGAAACGTCCAGTGGGCCTATCCCCCCACCCCCACCCCCCGCCACCCTCTCGTTCTAGCAAAAGGAGGTGAAGTCACCTCGCTGCAACTTCAGTGGCGACTTCATGTGTGGACACTGCGTGTGCTATGAGGGCTGGTAAGTGTGTGGAGTGAAGCCAGTACCCAGGGTGCCAGTGGCTCCCAGAGGGGACTGGGCACACCATGGGTGCCCAGCTGAGGGTGGGGTGGCAGGTCATAGCAAGGTGGCTCCAGTTTAAAGCACTTTAAAATGCAGAGATATAGAGGATATCTCTGGAAAGACCTGCAGGAATCAAGACTGTGGTGGTTGTCAGGGCGTGGGGACTGGGTGTTAGGGGACAGGCACAGGAGGGAGACTTCCTTTTCACTCCATACCTGTTGTAACTTTGATATCCTGAACCATGTGCACAAATTACCTAGTCGGAAATGAGCTTGAACGTGAATGTAGCTTCGAGACACTGAACAAGTCTGTCATAACTTGATGAGGGGCCCTGGGAGGGTCTCAGGGGATGAGGTTTGAGTGTCCGCTCAGCCTCTGCTGTCTGCGTGACTCAGACCCGCGACGGCCCTCTCAGAGTCTCAGTGTCCTCATCCATAAAGTGGAATAGTAAGAGCCCCAGCCGTCCTCCCGGGCTATGGGCACGTGACTGGCACCTTCCTCAGGAGCGGCAAGACCTGCAGCTGCTCCACTGGCTTGCTGAGTGACACACAGCCCTGCCTGCGGGACGGTGAGAACAAGCCGTGCTCCGGGCGCGGCGAGTGCCAGTGTGGGCGCTGTGTGTGCTACGGGGAAGGCCGCTATGAGGGTCCATTCTGCGAATTCGACAACTTCCAGTGTCCCCGCAACTCTGGGTTCCTCTGCAACGGTGAGCTCAGCAGCCCCTGCGGCCAGGGGTTGCCTGGCCCATGCCGTGCCCCAGGCTGACAGCCAGAGTCCCCACGTTCAGACCCAGCCCCCCTCTGGACTCCCTGAGTGCTTCCCCTAAGTCCACACGCAACCTGGACCTCTTTCCCCCTTTACGATCTTGACACTCAATGCCCTTGCCCCCTGTGTTTAAGACCCTGGCTCCCCTGAGGTCCTCCAGTCTATGCCCACCCCTTTCTCCAGTCTCCCATCTCATCAGAGTGAGTCCCACCCAGCTCAACCCTCAGTGGTTGACAGTATACGGATGCCTGTCTTCCATCTCTCAGAAGATGCTGCATTTCTAGCACACAGAGCCTGGAGCTACGTGTCCTCTGTAGCCCCACAGGGCCCAGCAGGATGGTCCAGGCCATGGGCACTTAGGCCAGGGCTTCTGTCACGGAGCCCAGACAGGGGCCACAAGGAAGGATCCACCGGCCAAATGGAAGAGAGTGGATGAAAATCCACTCATCAAATACTTATGAAGCCCCAGCTGTATACTTGCCGCTGGGAGTCAGGCCCCTACTTTTCTGCCTCTCCTCCGCTCTTGCTTTGGTTTGCCATTTCTTCTCCTCAACTGCCCATCCCAGAGTGTGTGCGTATAAATACGAGGAGATCCCAGTGTATCTAAAGAAAGACAGATGTTTGGCACAGGCAGAACTGCAAGAGAGGGCGGAAGGGAGATACCGCCGGGGAAGGAGACAGCGCCAGGCTACAAAAGGTTGGGTTTCAGTCTAGGAAAGTTCCAGTTCTAAGTCTAGTCCCAACTTTTTCTTCAAAAGCCAGAAAGTAAGTACTTTCAGCTTTGTGAGCCATATGGTCTCTGTCACAATGCCATTATAGCAGAAAGCAGCTAGGGACAATACATAAACACATGAATATGACTGCATTCCAATAAAACTTTTGCAAAATTAGGTAGTGAGTTAGATTTGGTTTGCAGGCCATAGTTAATCGGCCCTTATTCTAGTCTAAGGATATTGGGCTTTATCGTTTGTGTCAAAAGGAATCATTGGTTTTGATGTCATTTTTTAGCTATTTGTATGTTAACCTTGTATCCAGCCACATTGTTAAACTCACTTATGAAACCTAATAATTTATCTATAGATTACTGATATTTTGTGACTTGATACTTGAAAATAATGACAGTTTTATATATTACTTTCTAATATTTTTATGTTTTATTGTTTCATTGGCTTGGACTCATTAGAGTTCTTAAACAGGGGAGACACATGATTGCATTTGTGTTTTGGGACAGTCACTCTGGCTGCAGAGTGGAAGGTAGAAAGTAGAATGGAGATGGAGAGAAGGAGGGAAGGAAATTCCAAGGCAGTGAGGAAGAGATGTCTCTGCCCCTGGCTAGGGACATCTTGACTCCCAAGGGTCAGCTCCCACAGGGCCTCCCAGCAGGTGGGCAGCCAGGACTGCAGGTATGAATGTGGTTCTCCTCTCCCTTCCCTTCCCATCTCTGCAGCCCGGGGACACTGCTCCATGGGCCAGTGTGTGTGTGCGACTGGCTGGACAGGCTCAAGCTGTGAATGTCCTCTCAGCAATGCCACCTGCATTGACAGCAAAGGGGTAGGCCTGGGCATGAAGCTGGCAGTGTGGGGTGGAAGAGAGAGCCCCAGTCAGAACCACGCGTCCTCTCAGGCAGGGATTGGGGTATAGCTGGCTCAGTGGTCCTTCCTCTTGCCCCAGGGTATCTGTAATGGGCGTGGCAACTGTGAGTGTGGTCGCTGCCACTGCAAACAGCAGTCGCTCTACACCGTGGACAACACCTGTGAGATCAGCCACTCAGCCGTAAGTGTAGGGTCTCTGGGGTGTTGGGATGGGAACCTCGGGCATGGGGCAAGGCAGACAGGGCTGAGCCTGGTGCCATAGGAGCAGTCCAAGGGTGAGAGGTTGGAGGACTGGGCCTGGCAGAGGTCTGTCCAGCACAGTGCATGCCTGCCCTCCTTGCCCACCCAGATCCGCCTGGGCCTTTGTGAGGACCTGCGTTCCTGCGTGCAGTGCCAGGCTTGGGGCACTGGTGAGAAGAAGGGGCATACGTGTGAGGAGTGCAGCTTCAAGGTCAAGATGGTGGATGAGCTTAAGAAAGGTACGGGGCAGGGCCGAGGGCCAGGGGCTGCTGAGAAACTAGGTAGGGGGTAAGCGATGGGGCTAGGGGTGTCACTGGGAGAGGTCACAGGACCCAGACAGGGCACACAGACCTGGGCAGGGGGCACCTGGCTTGAGCAGGGGGCAAACAGCTGAGTAAGGCGTGAGCACAGCAGGCACACATAATGGGGCCATGGGGGCGCACAGCCTCCTTTCCTCCAGGTGAGATAAGTGCTCTAGAAGCCAAGCTCCCAAGTGATGCCCAGCACGGGGAGTGGAGGACACAGATTCACAGCCTTTGATGCCCCTGGGCAAAGAGCAAGGCAGCACCCCACTTCACCCTGTCCCTGTGCCAGGGGGCTTGTGTCCTTCCCCAGAGATATGCCTCCTGCCCTGCAGTGGCAGCACGGGCCGCAGAGTAAAGGACATCTCACCAGGCCCTGGGGTGCCATGGGGTGGGGTAGGGGTACCCTGCTGACTGTCTGTGGGTGCAGCCGATGAGGTGGTGGAGTACTGCTCCTTCCGGGACGAAGATGACGACTGCACCTACAGCTACACCGTGGAGGGTGATGGCGCCCCCGGGCCCAACAGCACTGTCCTGGTGCACAGGAAGAAGGGTGAGCTGGCAGCCCGGGAGGGGGCAGCCCACGAGGCCCTGGTGCGGGATGGGCACCGCCGCTCCTCTCCCTCCTCTCTCCCGCCTAGACTGCCCTCCCGGCTCCTTCTGGTGGCTCATCCCCCTGCTCATCTCCCTGCTGCTGCTCCTGGCCCTGCTGCTGCTCCTCTGCTGGAAGTACTGTGCCTGCTGCAAGGTGAGTGGTCCCCGGGGCCCCCAGCAGGATGCCCGCCCCTGCCAAGGACCCAGCCCCCGGCCAGGGTCCTCGTAGGGAGCCGCGGTCAGGCAAACCTGTCTTCTGCCCAGCTTTAGTGCCCCCACACCTAGCCCCTCACCTCTGCCAATCATCAGTGGCTGGAACCTGGGGGCATCAGTCCTGGGGCCAGCCCCATGCAGAGGGCCATGGCAGTCAGCAGGGGAGGAAGGGCCCTGCCCGCCAGCGGCTGCCAGTCTCACTGGAGAGAAAAGACAGAAGAGCAAAGCATGGAGAATGGCAGGGCCCAGAAACCTGAACTGTAGGGGCAGGGACAACGCTCTAGCATCCCAGGTGTGGAGTATTAGTGTGGCTGCAGAGGGAAAGAAGTCGGTGATCAAATACATTTGAGAAACAGGTTTCTTCTCTGCAGGACTTCTCAGAGCCTTTGGTCTGTGCATAGTGAAACTATAAGAGGGGCATGCTTCCCAAATGAGTTTGATCACAGAACCTTTACAGAGCATCTGGCAGGACCAGGGTCCCATGGCACAAACTTTGGGAACGCACTGCCCCTCTGTACTTGCCCTGTACGCCCCACACCTCAATCCCAGCACTGCCTTATATCCTGGTGTCTGGTGGGAGGCACTGTTGCCCCTCCAGACGTTGGCGTGGGTAGGGTAGAGAGGTTTACCTGGCCTGGGTCAGCTGTCCCGGGCCCTCATCCCCCACCCACCTTGTCTCCTAGGCCTGCCTGGCGCTTCTCCCTTGCTGCAACCGAGGTATGGGCCTGGCATTGATGAGGGCAGCAGGGCTGACTGCTCTTTGCCCCAGCTGGGGTCAAGGGCAGGTGGGGATGAGTCTGAAACAGAGTGGGGAGGCTGTAGGGGCTCACTTGGAGGGGTGTGTCTGGGAGGGTAATGGAGGAGCCCCATGCTGAGGGCCCTGTCCCACAGGCCACATGGTGGGCTTCAAGGAGGACCACTACATGCTGCGGGAGAACCTGATGGCCTCCGACCACCTGGACACGCCCATGCTGCGCAGCGGGAACCTCAAGGGGCGTGACACCGTCCGCTGGAAGATCACCAACAACGTGCAGCGGCCTGGCTTTGCCACCCACGCTGCCAGCACAAACCCCACGGAGCTGGGTGAGGCCTGGGGCTGTGCACGACAGCTCTTGGCTGTGCTTGGGGGCTAGAGCATGTTCACCACTGTTCCTGGGTCCAGTTCACACCATTCCTATTTTCTCTGGGTGTTGGATGCAGGCACAGGGTTGGCCACCTTCAACCCTTCCTGATGGTGCAACAGTCCTCAGGGGCCCAGCCAGACAATTGTCCCCCCAGTCCTACCATGTCTCCTGAAGGGGCCTTGTGGGGTGCCCACCGTGCAGGGGGCTGACAACCCCCATCCCTACCTGCCCCTAGTTCCCTACGGGCTGTCCCTGCGCCTTGCCCGCCTTTGCACTGAGAACTTACTGAAGCCTGACACTCGAGAATGTGACCAGCTGCGCCAGGAGGTGGAGGAGAATGTAAGGGTCAAAGAAGTTAATCCCAGGGCATCTGGCATCTCTGCAATGGTTGTGGGAGAGCAAAGGGAATGCAGCTGTGGAACCTGGATTTTTCTGGGAAGGAAAGAGGGGCTTTCTCTTTACTTGTTCCTGGTCTGGGGTCATCCTGGGACCTGCTGTTCCCTGTGAATGTTTCCAGAAGGGGACAGGCAGTGTGCATGTCCATGGGCATGCCCCCAGCCAACCCTGAGAGATCCTCTGGGCCTGGATGGCTCTGGGTAGAGGCTCATGACCCTCCCTTGCCTGGCAGCTGAGCGAGGTGTACGGACAGATCACAGGCGCGCACAAGCTGCAGCAGACTAAGTTCCGGTGGGTCCTGGCCGCCAAGGTTTGGGTGGGAGAGCTGCTCAAACTCCCAGTTCCAGGGATCTCCCCCAGGCAGACTTGCCTCTACCCCCAGAGACCATCTTTGTCCCCTCTTTGTCCCCGCAGGCAACAGCCCAATGCTGGGAAGAAGTGAGTTGAAGACACGTGGGTGGGGCAGTCCCAGCCCCCAGCTACCTGCCCCATCTGCCCCCTGCTCCACCCACCTCCATCCCCATCCCACAGGAAGGGAGGGCTGTATGTGTCTGTCATGAATTAGGACCTTCATTCAGCAAAAGCTGATGTGAAGCCCTCACTATGAGCCAGGCCCCGGACGAGCTCCATGGCAGGCCGCAGGGAACTGAACAGACGCAGTCAGTCCTGCTCCGTCCTCCTCCAGGCTCTGAGGCCTGAATCTTGTGGGCACCTCTGGGTGCCAGGCAGGTTTACCAAGAAGATGGACCAGCAGTTCACATACCTCTTTCCCAGTTCCCACCGTGGGTCCTGACCCTTAATGGGGAGAGTGAGGCAGGGGCCTCAAAGCAGACGACAGAACTGTGCAGTAACAGAATTCAGGCTTGCTGAGCACCCCCATCTTCATGAGTAGGAACCATTTAGACCAGCATTGTGATCGCTTGCAATGGGCCAGGCCTTTCTCTAAGTGCTGTGCCTGGGTATCTTGTCCATCCGTCTCAACCCAGGGAGGCAGGTACCATTGCTATTCCTGTTTCATAGAAGAAGAAACAGGTTTGGAGAGGTTAAGTAACTTGCCCAAGACTATTTAGTTATTAAGAAGTAGAAGAAGATGCTGCATTTCTAGCACACAGAGCCTGGAGCTACGTGTCCTCTGTAGCCCCACAGGGCCCAGCAGGATGGTCCAGGCCATGGGCACTTAGGCCAGGGCTTCTGTCACGGAGCCCAGACAGGGGCCACAAGGAAGGATCCACCGGCCAAATGGAAGAGAGTGGATGAAAATCCACTCATCAAATACTTATGAAGCCCCAGCTGTATACTTGCCGCTGGGAGTCAGGCCCCTACTTTTCTGCCTCTCCTCCGCTCTTGCTTTGGTTTGCCATTTCTTCTCCTCAACTGCCCATCCCAGAGTGTGTGCGTATAAATACGAGGAGATCCCAGTGTATCTAAAGAAAGACAGATGTTTGGCACAGGCAGAACTGCAAGAGAGGGCGGAAGGGAGATACCGCCGGGGAAGGAGACAGCGCCAGGCTACAAAAGGTTGGGTTTCAGTCTAGGAAAGTTCCAGTTCTAAGTCTAGTCCCAACTTTTTCTTCAAAAGCCAGAAAGTAAGTACTTTCAGCTTTGTGAGCCATATGGTCTCTGTCACAATGCCATTATAGCAGAAAGCAGCTAGGGACAATACATAAACACATGAATATGACTGCATTCCAATAAAACTTTTGCAAAATTAGGTAGTGAGTTAGATTTGGTTTGCAGGCCATAGTTAATCGGCCCTTATTCTAGTCTAAGGATATTGGGCTTTATCGTTTGTGTCAAAAGGAATCATTGGTTTTGATGTCATTTTTTAGCTATTTGTATGTTAACCTTGTATCCAGCCACATTGTTAAACTCACTTATGAAACCTAATAATTTATCTATAGATTACTGATATTTTGTGACTTGATACTTGAAAATAATGACAGTTTTATATATTACTTTCTAATATTTTTATGTTTTATTGTTTCATTGGCTTGGACTCATTAGAGTTCTTAAACAGGGGAGACACATGATTGCATTTGTGTTTTGGGACAGTCACTCTGGCTGCAGAGTGGAAGGTAGAAAGTAGAATGGAGATGGAGAGAAGGAGGGAAGGAAATTCCAAGGCAGTGAGGAAGAGATGTCTCTGCCCCTGGCTAGGGACATCTTGACTCCCAAGGGTCAGCTCCCACAGGGCCTCCCAGCAGGTGGGCAGCCAGGACTGCAGGTATGAATGTGGTTCTCCTCTCCCTTCCCTTCCCATCTCTGCAGCCCGGGGACACTGCTCCATGGGCCAGTGTGTGTGTGCGACTGGCTGGACAGGCTCAAGCTGTGAATGTCCTCTCAGCAATGCCACCTGCATTGACAGCAAAGGGGTAGGCCTGGGCATGAAGCTGGCAGTGTGGGGTGGAAGAGAGAGCCCCAGTCAGAACCACGCGTCCTCTCAGGCAGGGATTGGGGTATAGCTGGCTCAGTGGTCCTTCCTCTTGCCCCAGGGTATCTGTAATGGGCGTGGCAACTGTGAGTGTGGTCGCTGCCACTGCAAACAGCAGTCGCTCTACACCGTGGACAACACCTGTGAGATCAGCCACTCAGCCGTAAGTGTAGGGTCTCTGGGGTGTTGGGATGGGAACCTCGGGCATGGGGCAAGGCAGACAGGGCTGAGCCTGGTGCCATAGGAGCAGTCCAAGGGTGAGAGGTTGGAGGACTGGGCCTGGCAGAGGTCTGTCCAGCACAGTGCATGCCTGCCCTCCTTGCCCACCCAGATCCGCCTGGGCCTTTGTGAGGACCTGCGTTCCTGCGTGCAGTGCCAGGCTTGGGGCACTGGTGAGAAGAAGGGGCATACGTGTGAGGAGTGCAGCTTCAAGGTCAAGATGGTGGATGAGCTTAAGAAAGGTACGGGGCAGGGCCGAGGGCCAGGGGCTGCTGAGAAACTAGGTAGGGGGTAAGCGATGGGGCTAGGGGTGTCACTGGGAGAGGTCACAGGACCCAGACAGGGCACACAGACCTGGGCAGGGGGCACCTGGCTTGAGCAGGGGGCAAACAGCTGAGTAAGGCGTGAGCACAGCAGGCACACATAATGGGGCCATGGGGGCGCACAGCCTCCTTTCCTCCAGGTGAGATAAGTGCTCTAGAAGCCAAGCTCCCAAGTGATGCCCAGCACGGGGAGTGGAGGACACAGATTCACAGCCTTTGATGCCCCTGGGCAAAGAGCAAGGCAGCACCCCACTTCACCCTGTCCCTGTGCCAGGGGGCTTGTGTCCTTCCCCAGAGATATGCCTCCTGCCCTGCAGTGGCAGCACGGGCCGCAGAGTAAAGGACATCTCACCAGGCCCTGGGGTGCCATGGGGTGGGGTAGGGGTACCCTGCTGACTGTCTGTGGGTGCAGCCGATGAGGTGGTGGAGTACTGCTCCTTCCGGGACGAAGATGACGACTGCACCTACAGCTACACCGTGGAGGGTGATGGCGCCCCCGGGCCCAACAGCACTGTCCTGGTGCACAGGAAGAAGGGTGAGCTGGCAGCCCGGGAGGGGGCAGCCCACGAGGCCCTGGTGCGGGATGGGCACCGCCGCTCCTCTCCCTCCTCTCTCCCGCCTAGACTGCCCTCCCGGCTCCTTCTGGTGGCTCATCCCCCTGCTCATCTCCCTGCTGCTGCTCCTGGCCCTGCTGCTGCTCCTCTGCTGGAAGTACTGTGCCTGCTGCAAGGTGAGTGGTCCCCGGGGCCCCCAGCAGGATGCCCGCCCCTGCCAAGGACCCAGCCCCCGGCCAGGGTCCTCGTAGGGAGCCGCGGTCAGGCAAACCTGTCTTCTGCCCAGCTTTAGTGCCCCCACACCTAGCCCCTCACCTCTGCCAATCATCAGTGGCTGGAACCTGGGGGCATCAGTCCTGGGGCCAGCCCCATGCAGAGGGCCATGGCAGTCAGCAGGGGAGGAAGGGCCCTGCCCGCCAGCGGCTGCCAGTCTCACTGGAGAGAAAAGACAGAAGAGCAAAGCATGGAGAATGGCAGGGCCCAGAAACCTGAACTGTAGGGGCAGGGACAACGCTCTAGCATCCCAGGTGTGGAGTATTAGTGTGGCTGCAGAGGGAAAGAAGTCGGTGATCAAATACATTTGAGAAACAGGTTTCTTCTCTGCAGGACTTCTCAGAGCCTTTGGTCTGTGCATAGTGAAACTATAAGAGGGGCATGCTTCCCAAATGAGTTTGATCACAGAACCTTTACAGAGCATCTGGCAGGACCAGGGTCCCATGGCACAAACTTTGGGAACGCACTGCCCCTCTGTACTTGCCCTGTACGCCCCACACCTCAATCCCAGCACTGCCTTATATCCTGGTGTCTGGTGGGAGGCACTGTTGCCCCTCCAGACGTTGGCGTGGGTAGGGTAGAGAGGTTTACCTGGCCTGGGTCAGCTGTCCCGGGCCCTCATCCCCCACCCACCTTGTCTCCTAGGCCTGCCTGGCGCTTCTCCCTTGCTGCAACCGAGGTATGGGCCTGGCATTGATGAGGGCAGCAGGGCTGACTGCTCTTTGCCCCAGCTGGGGTCAAGGGCAGGTGGGGATGAGTCTGAAACAGAGTGGGGAGGCTGTAGGGGCTCACTTGGAGGGGTGTGTCTGGGAGGGTAATGGAGGAGCCCCATGCTGAGGGCCCTGTCCCACAGGCCACATGGTGGGCTTCAAGGAGGACCACTACATGCTGCGGGAGAACCTGATGGCCTCCGACCACCTGGACACGCCCATGCTGCGCAGCGGGAACCTCAAGGGGCGTGACACCGTCCGCTGGAAGATCACCAACAACGTGCAGCGGCCTGGCTTTGCCACCCACGCTGCCAGCACAAACCCCACGGAGCTGGGTGAGGCCTGGGGCTGTGCACGACAGCTCTTGGCTGTGCTTGGGGGCTAGAGCATGTTCACCACTGTTCCTGGGTCCAGTTCACACCATTCCTATTTTCTCTGGGTGTTGGATGCAGGCACAGGGTTGGCCACCTTCAACCCTTCCTGATGGTGCAACAGTCCTCAGGGGCCCAGCCAGACAATTGTCCCCCCAGTCCTACCATGTCTCCTGAAGGGGCCTTGTGGGGTGCCCACCGTGCAGGGGGCTGACAACCCCCATCCCTACCTGCCCCTAGTTCCCTACGGGCTGTCCCTGCGCCTTGCCCGCCTTTGCACTGAGAACTTACTGAAGCCTGACACTCGAGAATGTGACCAGCTGCGCCAGGAGGTGGAGGAGAATGTAAGGGTCAAAGAAGTTAATCCCAGGGCATCTGGCATCTCTGCAATGGTTGTGGGAGAGCAAAGGGAATGCAGCTGTGGAACCTGGATTTTTCTGGGAAGGAAAGAGGGGCTTTCTCTTTACTTGTTCCTGGTCTGGGGTCATCCTGGGACCTGCTGTTCCCTGTGAATGTTTCCAGAAGGGGACAGGCAGTGTGCATGTCCATGGGCATGCCCCCAGCCAACCCTGAGAGATCCTCTGGGCCTGGATGGCTCTGGGTAGAGGCTCATGACCCTCCCTTGCCTGGCAGCTGAGCGAGGTGTACGGACAGATCACAGGCGCGCACAAGCTGCAGCAGACTAAGTTCCGGTGGGTCCTGGCCGCCAAGGTTTGGGTGGGAGAGCTGCTCAAACTCCCAGTTCCAGGGATCTCCCCCAGGCAGACTTGCCTCTACCCCCAGAGACCATCTTTGTCCCCTCTTTGTCCCCGCAGGCAACAGCCCAATGCTGGGAAGAAGTGAGTTGAAGACACGTGGGTGGGGCAGTCCCAGCCCCCAGCTACCTGCCCCATCTGCCCCCTGCTCCACCCACCTCCATCCCCATCCCACAGGAAGGGAGGGCTGTATGTGTCTGTCATGAATTAGGACCTTCATTCAGCAAAAGCTGATGTGAAGCCCTCACTATGAGCCAGGCCCCGGACGAGCTCCATGGCAGGCCGCAGGGAACTGAACAGACGCAGTCAGTCCTGCTCCGTCCTCCTCCAGGCTCTGAGGCCTGAATCTTGTGGGCACCTCTGGGTGCCAGGCAGGTTTACCAAGAAGATGGACCAGCAGTTCACATACCTCTTTCCCAGTTCCCACCGTGGGTCCTGACCCTTAATGGGGAGAGTGAGGCAGGGGCCTCAAAGCAGACGACAGAACTGTGCAGTAACAGAATTCAGGCTTGCTGAGCACCCCCATCTTCATGAGTAGGAACCATTTAGACCAGCATTGTGATCGCTTGCAATGGGCCAGGCCTTTCTCTAAGTGCTGTGCCTGGGTATCTTGTCCATCCGTCTCAACCCAGGGAGGCAGGTACCATTGCTATTCCTGTTTCATAGAAGAAGAAACAGGTTTGGAGAGGTTAAGTAACTTGCCCAAGACTATTTAGTTATTAAGAAGTAGAACCAGGTGGTTTGCCTTCAGTGCCCATATCCTTAGCACCTGCGCTGTCCTGCAAATACTCCGCCATCACCAGCCCTTCTCGGGGAAGCAGGCGGGGGTACCTCACTTCAGCAATGAGGACACTGAGGCTTGGGGGGTGCAGCTGCAGTGGCCTGGCTGAATCTGCTGGGTGTGGGGTTGTGGGGGGACCCATATGGGCCCTAGGACTGCCTAGGTCTAAAGACCCTGCACTTTTTGCTGTCCTGCCTCTTATCCTCTGATAGGGAGAGGACAGGAAGGAGGGGCAGGCAGGGGTAAGTGCCACCATGCTGGCCAACCTGATGCCTCCCCACCTGCCCCCCCAGGCAGGACCACACCATTGTGGATACAGTGCTGACGGCACCCCGCGCAGCCAAGCACGCCCTGCTGAAGCTCACCGAAAAGCATGTGGAGCAGGGAGCCTTCCATGAGCTCAAGGTGGCCCCTGGCTACTACACCCTCACTGCAGACCAGGGTAGGTGGGCAGGCCCCCTGCACTGCTGCCTTGCACTTCCCACTCCATGTGGCCTCCAGACCCCCATCTGACTGCCCCCCGTGCTCACCCAGATGCCCGGGGCATGGTGGAGTTCCAGGAAGGCGTGGAGCTGGTAGATGTGCGGGTGCCCCTCTTCATCCGGCCTGAGGATGATGACGAGAAGCAGCTGCTGGTGGAGGCCATCGATGTGCCCATGGGCACTGCCACTCTCGGCCGCCGCTTGGTAAACATCACCATCATCAAGGAGCAAGGTTGGTCAGAGCGGGGGAAGCAGGGGGGCAAAAGGCAGCCTCTGGGGCCCCTTCTCCTCCTGATAGCCAGGTGGAAGTGGGGCCTGGCCATGTGGCCTGGGCAGTCGCCTAACCTCTGTGAGCCTTGGTTTCTCCATCTGTAAAATGGGTATCAGGCTCCTGTGAGGGGTATGTGGCCATGTATCTCTGTACATAGCTGTCCCACATCCCTCCCCTTGTTCTCTCCCTAATGGCCTTTGAACCTAGGAGATTGAATGGCTCTCCCTGGGATGCCAGGACATCGGAGGAGGAAGAGAACTGGGTGGGCAAGGCATCGCACAATGACGCCTAAGCTGCCTTCCCTACCTGCTCCTCAGGGAGCCCAGAGTTCCTGACAGCTGTCCTTTCAGCATTCAGAGGCCTGTTCTGGCCCCTACCCCTCCTCCCGCCTGCTTCAGGACCACAGGCCTTTGTCCTGCTCTGTCCCCAGCCCTTGGTCTCTGGTTTTGCCACAGCCTGGCCACCTTTCTGAGCCCTGATCCTTCCAGGATGTCAGTTGGACACTATCCCAGTCCCTTCAACTTTTTCCTTTCCTCTGCCCGACCTGGAGAGCAGTGGGTGAGGGGTGACAAGCTGAACCCTGGAGTCTGGGCTTGGTGGAATCAGAGGGAGCGTGGGAGTTGAGAGGGACTGAGGCCGGGACTCTCTGACCGGAGCCCACGCTCCTTGTAGCCAGTGGGATTGTGTCCTTTGAGCGGCCTGAGTACTCGGTCAGCGGTGGGGAGCAGGTGGCCCGCATTCCTGTCATCCGGCGCATCCTGGACAATGGCAAGTCCCAGGTCTCCTACCGCACGCAGGACAACACAGCACTGGGCAACCAGGTAAGACTCCGCCGTGGGGTTGAGGGCACATCCCAGGGGCCTGATGGGAGCAGGACACGGCAGCTGCCAGCCACTGGATGCTTGTGGTGCTCCTGGCTGGCCTCCCAAGGACACGCCCCCTGCTCCTGCCGCCCTGCAGCGGGATGTCTTGCTTACCAAAAGTACCAGTAAGGCTCCATCAGTGCCAGGGGCTGAGGCCAGGGACATGTCCAGACCATTAGTGTCCCCTTCTAGCAACCGAGGATCCACCAGGGCAGGCCAGCCCTTCATTCGGATGCAGACTCCCCCGGTCTGCACCAGTCTCGGGGCTTCGAGCTCCTGACCACACCCTCTTTTTTCCTTGTTGGTAGGACAGTTCCCATTACTGCTCTGATGAGCCCAATAAAAATCCCAAAGAAGTTGCATGCCCATAAATTTCATTGCATATGCCATATTATACAAGAGATTAATATTTTGGTATTTAACTATTTTTAAAAACATTTCTGTTATTTCCCAATTTTTTATTTTGAGAAGCTTCAGACCTACAGATAAAAAGGAAAGACTAATAAAATTAGCACCCATGTACCCTTTACATAGATTACCAGTTGTTAATGTTTGCTTCTATGTATATGGAGATATAGGTATGTGTGCATGTGTACAGGTGCCGATGTATCTGTAGATCTATACCTCTGTCTCTATAACTGTAGAGAGAAAGGAAGAGAGTTGAGTTCGTTTAGTTTGTTGAACTATTTAAAGTAAGTTACAGACATCCTGTAGACCCTAAACACTCCGGCAGGCACCTGCTAAGAATAAGGTCGTTCTACATCACTACAACATAACTTACAACCAAACTGAAGAAATGTCACCTGTACTTGGACCTAATAATTAGTCTATATTCTGATCTACCCATGTTTACATGTCCTTTTGACCTTTGTTCCCCCAACCCAGGAACCAGTCTAGAATCTGGCATTGCATTTTGTTGTCATATGTCCCTTAGTCTCTTTTAATCTAGAACACACCTCAGCTTTGTCTTCTGTGACTCGACATTTTTGAAGTGTCCCCCTAGGTCAGTTGTCTTGCAGGCGACTCCTGCCTTTCTCACACTTACTGTTTCCCAGACGACGCAGTGCCTGGAATTGCAATGTTAGCTTGAAGCGCCACCTGGTGGTCATCTGTCAGAAGGACACTCCCCTTGGCAGTCGAGCTAACGCACGTGTACACGGGCACATACACAGTCATCCGGGGATGTTCAGGAAAACTCTGGGGCATTGAAAGAAGAAAACTGGAGCTGATGGAAGCACCTCACCCTAGTGGGATCTCAGATTTCAGAGCCACTGTGTAGGGATGGTTCCTTCCTCCCTGGGTGGGACCTACAAATCCCAGTCCCCTCACCCACCTCTCAGAGGCTGCCTGTGTGGGACTTTCTGTATCTCCTGTGCATCCGTCTCTCTGCCTTGGTTCAAATCCCAGCTCTACCACAGCCACTTGTGTGAATTTGGGCAAGTTTTTCCACATCTGTGTGCCTCAGTTCTTCTTCTGTAAAATGGGTCAATAATATCTTTATCTCACAATGTGTGAGACTCAAATGAGCTAATATTTGTAAGGTGCCTGACACACAGGATGTTCTCTATAAACATGAGCCATTTCTTGTCCACGCGGGACAGTTTCTGCAGAATCCATGTGGTTGGAGGGAGCATGTAGCCATGACTCATCCCCCCACCCCGGTCTGACCCCGACTCCTACCCACTCCCAGGACTACATCCCCACAGAGGGTGAGCTGCTGTTCCAACCCGGGGAGACCTGGAAGGAGCTGCAGGTGAAGCTCCTGGAGCTGCAGGAGATGGACTCCCTCCTGCGGGGCCGCCAGACCCGCCACTTCCACATCGAGCTCAGCAATCCCAAGTTTGGGGCTCGCCTGGGCCAGCCCTACTCAGCCACTGTCATCGTTGGGGACCGAGGTGGGGCAAGCAGGGTCAGCGTAAGCAGGTGGGGAGGGAGGTCTGGGGCCTCTCAACTAAGGCTGCCAATCTTAGCAAGTCAAAATACAGGGTGCCCAGTTAAATCTGAATTTCAGGTAACAATGAACACATTTAGTATAAAAATGTCCCCAGCAATATGTGGGATATACTTCTCCTAAAAAAAGTATTTATTTATTGTTTATCTGAAATTCTGATTTAACTAGGGCCCTACTCTCAATCAGAGAAACTGAGGTCTGTTGTATTCCCTAGGCCTGTGGGTGGTGCTGTGAATGCCACCATTAGGCCTTAGCCCTTTGACTTCAACCTCAGTTCCAACTTAAATGTGGGTCTTTCCCCAAAGAACTGGTTCTGAGTCCTTAGCTTCCAGTGTGGTGGTGTCTGGGAGCCCACCCCCAGCGCAGGATCTCGGGAAGATGGGAGGGGAGGAAGGATTCTCAGGCAGTAGAGAGGGGAAGGCAGCAAATGCTCGTGTGCGGAGCACTCCCTTGCCTGCCAGGGGAGGAGGAGGGGCAGGCGAACGCCCTCCTCCCCCTCATGCCTCCAGAGCCCCCCCTGGGCCCTCCACCAGGCTGGCACATTGCCCTCTGCTGCACCAGAGGCCAGGGTGGGCAGGTGTCCCTGGAGGGCCACCGGGGGAAGGAGTCTAACTGAGTCTCTTGACCTCTGTGGTGGGGAGTGGGGTCCTGCCTCCCTCAGAGAGGGTGTGCCTGAACTGGGTGACCTGCCCGAACTTGACCCACTACAGACGAACTGGACCGGAACTTCATGAGCCAGACCGTGTCATCATCCCCCCGTGGTGACCTGGGTGCCCCACAGAACCCCAATGCCAAGGCTGCTGGGTCCCGGAAGATCCACTTCAACTGGCTTCCCCCTCCTGGCAAACCGACAGGGTACAGGGTAAGGTAGGGGGCAATTAAGGAGGTGGATTGGGGAGGCCTGGTGCCCACTGGGGAGGTGGGCTGCCTGAGGAAGAGGGGAGGGCGTGCTTGGCACCAGTGTACCAAGTAGCAGTGGACGACGGGAGCCCCACCTGTGCCTGGGAAGAGGGAGGACCCATCCAGGAGTGTTCAGACATTTGCCCTCCTTCCTGGAATGTGCATCCTCCCTGACCGGTATGGACCTGGCACGCCACCAGCGCCTCAGTGTCTCATCTATGCTAAGGGGACAGTGAAGGCAGAGAAGGTCAACAGAGGGATGAGCAGCTCTGGTGCTCGCCGCTCCCCACTGACCAGCCCTCTCCTGGGAGCAGGTGAAGTACTGGATCCAGGGTGACTCTGAGTCCGAAGCCCACCTCCTCGACAGTAAGGTGCCCTCAGTGGAGCTCACCAACCTGTACCCATACTGTGACTACGAGATGAAGGTGTGCGCCTACGGGGCGCAGGGCGAGGGCCCCTATAGCTCCCTGGTGTCCTGCCGCACCCACCAGGAAGGTGAGACCTCACCACGTCTGTGTGTCCCCCAGCTACCTGATGCCAGCGTGCCCAGCCTGCACCCCCCACCTCCCAGAAGTCTGCCCTCCTCTGAGGCTGACCGCTCTCTTCCTGTACCTCCCCACCCCCAGTCCCCAGTGAGCCAGGGCGCCTGGCCTTCAATGTCGTCTCCTCCACCGTGACCCAGCTGAGCTGGGCTGAGCCAGCCGAGACCAACGGCGAGATCACAGCCTATGAGGTCTGCTATGGCCTGGTCAACGAAGACAACCGTAAGGACCTGGACGCCCCCTGCTGCCCCAGGGGTGGAGACAAAGTGGGAGGAAGGTCACACTGTACTGGTCAGTGGATGCGCCCCACACATCAGGTTGCCTGAGGCATCATTAGGTTTGTGGTCAAGCTTGGTCTGGGTTCCATTCCAACGTCAAGCTCAGAATCTCGCAGGGTGGGTGGGAATGCAGGCCTGAGATGACATTTATGCGATAGGCTCACAGGCCCATGTGGGTGCCTTCCCATACAGGTAACCAGAGGGGCTCATTTCCACAGAGTTCTCTTAGGGCCAAAGTAAAGTAGCCAGACTTAGCAAATAAAAATAGAGGATCCCCTGAATTTCAGATGAACAATTTTTCTAGCACATTTCATGCAGTATTTTATCTGGCAGCCGTAGGCCAGAGTGCCTGGCAAAACTGTTATTTCTTCTGAGACCTGGAAGGAAGGAAGGGTGGACGACCCCTGCCAATTGCCCAAATGAGAAAGCCCTGGAGGGAAATTGGCTCTGCTTCTCACCTGGTTTAGGGACCCCCCTCCTTGCTCCCTCACTTCTGCTTGGTCAGTTCCACTCCCATATGACCTTGGACCCTAAAGCGGGTCAGGTTGTGCACTCCCAAGTAGGCCCAACAGGACGGGGCGGAGACCAGGGGGATTGCTCCAGGCGTCAAGCTTGTGGACCTTCCCTAGCCAGGCAGACCACACAAAACCTTCTCAGTAGCCGCATCACACCTGTGGCTTATTCTGAGTTGGCAACACCTGGTCCACCCCCTGGACCACTGTCAGGAAGCCTCCTCTGAGGCGGACTTCAACCCCAGGAGTGGCAAGGACCCCAACGAAAGTTCACCCCTGATGCTTTCACCTTGGCTTCAGCCTGCTGGGGCCTGGCCCGTGCCAGGGAGTGTGCTGGGCAGGGCACCAGCACGGTGGTGTGTGCCCCTCTTCCGCCTCCTACTAGCTCCAGGAGACTGGGAGAGGCCTCCCCGCAGGCTGCTGGGCCTCCATCAACCAATTCTTTTTGAGCACAGTTGTTTGCTGAGGTAGACATCAAGCTCATCAGGTGTTTTCTAGAACCCTCCTTTGGACCTCTTTGTAAACTAGGACCTTGGCCTACACTTTTTTTATTTTTTATTTTTTATTAAGGTATGATTGATATACACTCTTATGAAGGTTTCACATGAAAAAACAATGTGGTTACTACATTCACCCATATTATCGAGTCCCCACCCATACCCCAATGCAATCACTGTCCATCAGTGCAGCAAGATGCTTGGCCCAGCATGGTGGGCCCCATCTTATCTGGGCCTTGGCACCGTAACTCCCTCAGAGCAGCCAGGGTCTCTGCCTCCTTCCTCCCAGGGCTGCACGTGCGCTTCTGTGTGTGAGTCTAGGATTGCTGCTTGGCCTCTGTTCTCTGCTAATTTGACACCACTGGCTCTCTTGTACCCTCCACTCCACCCTGACACCCTCAGCTCTCATAAGCTTCAGCCTTCCTGAAGGGCAGCACCCCTGAGCCCACCCCTCTGCTCCCATCCTTATCCATCCTCATTGCAGGGCAGCCATGCTGGGTGTTCAGATGTCCCCACCTTAGCTTCCTCAACAGAGCATTTGGGGTTTGGTAGTGGACAGTGTGACGTAGATGGTGACAGCGTCCCCACCTCTGGAGTGAGCCTCACACAGAGGCACCATGGACACAGGACCATTTACCAATCAGTAGATGTGACCGTGGGGCCAACTTGAGTCTAGTCCTGGCCCTGCCACTTAACGTATGGACGAGCCCTGCAGAGAGTTGGTGACACTGTTCTAAACTGGTCACGCCCGGGCTCTCGGGGCTTGGCAAGCTGCAGTTCAATAGCTGCCTGCTCCCTGAGCCCCCTGAGAGCCGTGTGGCGGAGCTGCCACCTCAGAGGGGGCTGGGACCCAGCTGCAACCTGGAGGACCCCTCTGAGGAGCCCTCCCTGCCCCAGGACCCATCGGGCCCATGAAGAAGGTGCTTGTGGACAGCCCCAAGAGGCGGATGCTTCTCATCGAGAACCTGCGTGAATCCCAGCCATACCGCTACACGGTGAAGGCGCGCAACGGGGCAGGCTGGGGGCCGGAGCGGGAGGCCATCATCAACCTGGCCACCCAGCCCAAGCGGCCCATGTCCAGTGAGTGGTGGGTGAGGAGGTACAGGGCAGACGGGAGGACAGGAGACCTGCGCTGGGACCCTGGCTCACCCCCTCCCACCCCTGCAGTCCCCATCATCCCGGACATACCCATTGTGGATGCCCAGAGTGGGGAAGATTATGAAAACTTCCTCATGTACAGCGATGACGTACTACGCTCCCCAGCTGGCAGCCAGAGGCCCAGCGTCTCTGATGACACTGGTGAGTGGGCCTGGGATCCACAAAAGGAAGGTGGGGATCCTGGGGAAAGGGCAGGGCTGTCACTGGTGTCCAGAGAGAGGAAAGGGGCCAGTGACCACTGAGCACAGAGGTCAAGACTACAAGTCTCCTCTCAGCCCCAAATGAACATCTGAAGAGGCTGCCATTTGGCAGGCACTGTATTGGCGCTGGGAACAGAGGGGACAAGACTGACGTGGCCCACATGAAATCATGTGCACACCTGTGCATGAGGCCAGACAGATATGTGCATGCAGGCAGATGCACACAGGATCGTGCAAGTGTGCATGGCTCATGCACATGGAACCACATGCAAACACGGCTGTGCGATGGAGCTGGGACCTCTTAGGCTGCCTCCCAGGGATGGTGCTCTGTGGGAGGCGATGGGCATGGGCCAGGAGCCCGGAGCAGCCCCCTGGCTGGGGCCAGTAAGGCAGGGTCCCTCACTGGCCCTACTCCTCCTCACTCCTGATTCCCTGCAAAGAGCCCACAGCTGGGAGTCCCTGTTACTCAATTTTAGCTCTGGCTCCACTGTGGGATGTCACATGAGTTGGTCACCTGCTCTGTGCCTCAGTTTCCTGATCTGTAAAATGGAACGCCAATCACACACCACCATGAGTAAAAATCCGCCAGGATTTGTATTTCCTTCCTTGCCTCTGCCTCAGTCCCCCCTATGAACACACACCTGCTCCCATGGGGCCAAGCCCAAGAGCCTTGGGCAAGGTTTTGAAGGTCTGAGGTAAGGAGCAGCTGGTAGGAATCAGGTGCCCCAGCTCAGGGGCTACTAACACTGTCCGTAAGTCACTCTGCGGCTCCTGGAACGTCCGTGGGAGGCACGCAGGGGAGACCTTACTCTCCCCACGACACAGGTGGGAAAATGAGGCTCAGGGCAGGGAGGCCTCACGGCTGGCGGCAGAGCCAGGGCTGCCGCCGGTCTCCCGGCCGCACGCACCCATCCGGAAGGGCTCTTCCTCCGCTAGGCATGCCGAAGGGCTCGCCTGCCGCGGGGCTGCCCCCCATCCGCCCCCCGTCCCAGGGAGCCCGCGGACGGGCTCACGTCGCGGCGCCGCCGCCTCCGCCCCGCCGGGCCCCCTCCCGCAGCCGCCCGCGCCCGCCGGCGGTGCCAACGGGGCCCTTCGTTGTTCCCAAGGCGGCGGCTGGAAGTTCGAACCCCTGCTAGGGGAGGAGCTGGACCTGCGGCGCGTCACGTGGCGGCTGCCCCCGGAGCTCATCCCGCGCCTGTCGGCCAGCAGCCGGTGCTCCTCGGACGCTGCCGAGCCGCCCCGCGGCCCCCCGGACGACGGCGCCCGCGGGGGCGCGGGGGGCGCGGGCGGGGAGGGCGGCGGCCTGGCCCGCAGCGCCACGCCGGGGCCCCGCGGAGGTGACGGGCTCTGAGCGCTGCGCCCTGCACTCACCGGGGCTCGTGGGTGTCCTGCCTCAGGGCCCCAGCCTGGGCCTCGGACGTCAGGCTGACCATTAAGGCCTGGCCAGGGGGCCTGCCACTGCTCGGGGGCAGAACCCCCCAGAGCCAAGGAACCCCCAGGGCAGGTGCTGGGTTCTCCCCAAAGCGGGACTGCCCCCGGCTCATACAACTTGAGCATTCTGTTGTGTGCAGTGGGCAGGCCCAAGGAGACCCCTCAGAGGTCTCCAGGGACACTGCTCCAAATGCAGGGGCGGTAAGCCTCCCGGCTAGGGGGAGTGGCATCCTGCCAGGCCAGATGGCCTGAGCGGCAGGCGTGGCTGTGTGGGCTGCGGAGCCCCCAGAGACCCTGGGCTTCTGCCTCTGGTGGGCGGAGGGAGGCAGGCTGTATTTATGCCAAGACCCAGAGAGTAGGTAATCCTGGGAGTTCCCAGGGCCACAGCCTGCCCCATGGGGTGCTGGAGCTGGGCAAGCCTGCCCAAGTGACCTTGACCTCCTTCCGCAGAGCACCTGGTGAACGGGCGGATGGACCTCACCTTCCCGGGCAGTGCCAACTCCCTGCACAGGATGACCTCAGCCACCACCACCTACGGCACCCACCTGAGCCCACAGCTGGCCCACCGTGTGCTGAGCACATCCTCCACCCTCACTCGGGACTACCACTCGCTGACCCGCACGGAACGCTCCCATCCGGCCACGCTGCCCAGAGACTACTCCACCCTCACCTCCCTCTCCTCCCACAGTGAGTGCCCCCCTCCAGCCCTGCCTGTCCCGCTGACCCACCCTCTCTTCCAGCTCCAGGAGGCTATGGCCGCTGGTTTGCTGCCCGCCACTGCCCAGCCTCCACACACACACTTCCTGCCCCCTCACTCCTGTTTTGTCACACCCTAGGCCTCCCTCCCATCTGGGAAGACGGGAGGAGCAGGCTTCCGCTGTCCTGGGCCCTGGGGCCCCGGAGCCGGGCTCAGGTGAAGGGGCTCCCCGGCTCTGGGGACTCACGAGACGCTATAATTCTGGCTGCGCAGCCTGCAGTGCCCTCTTGGGGCCCAGGTAGTACATGGTGGCCATCCTGTGTCTCCACAGCTGTCTTGCTCCATCTGTCACCCATCCACCCATTGCAGCCACTTCTCATGCTCACCGTGCCCTCCATCCCATCCACATCAGTGCTGATGCCTAACGCAACCTCTGACCTTCAAGGGGTGCTGGGCTGGGGCAGGAGAGGGGCCAGGCCAGCTGAGTACAAGCAAGGGACTGGCTGACTCATGGTGCTCCCCCTTTTGGTACAGGCAGGGCCCACATCCCCTCTGAGGATGTGTGGGGGGTGCCAGGTGGCCTGGATAGGGTGTTGCAGGTGGGATCAGGCCAGGGTGAGAATAACGCTGCTCCACCTGGCCAGTGCTCAGCATGGACAAGAGCTGAGGAAGGTCCGGGAATAGAACTAGGCCTCCTGCCCAAGGACCCCGATACAGGCTGACTGGGCCTCCTGTCTTCAGGCACCCACTTGGGGGCAGGCCTGCCCAACACACCCACCCGCCTGGTGTTCTCAGCCCTGGGACCCACGTCTCTGAAAGTGAGCTGGCAGGAGCCCCAATGTGAGCAGGTCCTGCAGGGCTACAGCGTGGAGTACCAGCTGCTGAATGGAGGTGAGGCATGGCTGCTGGTGGCGATTTACCCAAGTCCCTTGAACACTAACACCCCCAACCCAGCCTTTCTGAGAGGGTCTTTCACTTCCATGCCCCACCGCCCTCATTGCCACCTCTCTCAAGTCTTCATCTATCCCCCTGGGCCTCTCTCCAGGTCACGCCCCTGCTTGGTTTTACCTAACAAGGCCTCATTGCCCTAGGGACCCTGGGCCAATGCGGGCCTTTGAGGAAATTTGGAAGTGGCATGTCTCTGGGCAGACACACTTGCAACATGACCTGGGCCCATGAACAGCCAGAACATCCCTTGTTTAGTCTACAGCCTGAACAACCAGCTATACCATACTGGGCTGACCCCAACTGTACCCAAATCACAGCTAATCCTGGGTGGGTGACCAGGTCTTGGTGGTAGCCTAGGGAAGGAGTGGAATCAGGCCAGGGTGGGAAAAACGCTGCTCCACTGTCTGCACCCGCCCCCCACCCAGGTGAGATGCATCGGCTCCACATTCCCAGCCCCAGCCAGACTTCCGTGGTGGTGGAAGACCTTCTACCCAACCACTCCTACGTGTTCCGTGTGCGGGCCCAGAGCCAGGAAGGCTGGGGTCCAGAGCGTGAGGGTGTCATTACCATTGAGTCCCAGGTGCACCCCCAGAGCCCACTCTGCCCCCTGCCAGGTGAGTTGCCCCCTCCCACCCCGATAGCTGACCCCATCTCCCCCAACACACACTGACTCTTTTCTCCTCCCCCAGGCTCTGCCTTCACTTTGAGCACCCCCAGTGCCCCAGGCCCACTGGTGTTCACAGCCCTCAGCCCAGACTCCCTGCAGCTGAGCTGGGAGCGGCCACGCAGGCCTGAAGGGGATATCCTTGGATACCTGGTGACCTGTGAGATGGTCCATGGAGGAGGTGCGGCCTGCCTGCCCCGGGGTCAGGGGTGGCCAGGGAAGGGGTGGAGGGGGAGCTGCAGAGACTAAAGACCTCTTCCCTACTCAGAGCCAGCTACCACATTCCTGGTGGATGGTGACAACCCTGAGAGCCGGCTGACGGTGCCAGGCCTACGGGAGAATGTGCCCTACAAGTTCAAGGTGCAGGCCAAGACCACTGAAGGCTTCGGGCCAGAGCGTGAGGGTATCATCACCATTGAGTCCCAGGAAGGAGGTAGGGTGCCTCACCCCCTTCATCCCTACCCCTTCTCCAGCCATGCCTTCCGGCACCGTGCCCTGACTGGCCCGTCTGCCCACCCCAGGCCCCTTCCCACAGCTGGGCGGCCACGCCGGGCTCTTCCAGCACTCACTGCCAGGCGAGTACAGCATTACCACCACCCACACCGAGCCCTTCCTGCTGGGTGAGTTGCCAGTGGACAGGGCAAGGAGAGGCGGTATTCCTGGCTCTGCTCGGGGAGTACAGAGCTAACAGAGGAAAAGGGACAGGGACTCGGGCAGAGTCCCTCAATGCCTCTTCCCCTGCAGATGGACTGACCCTAGGGTCCCAGCACCTGGAAGCAGGTGGCTCTCTCACCCGGCACGTGACCCAGGAGTTCGTGAGCCGGACCCTGACCACCAGTGGGACTCTCAGCACGCAGGTGGACCAACAGTTCTTCCAGACCTGAGCCCCCACCCACCCAGGCAGTGTCCGGGAACCTGGGCCCCCACCCTGCCTCCTCCCCCTGGCTCTGCCTTGGCTAACCCACCCTTGGACCCTGAGCAGCTCAGCCCAACTGCATGCTGATTACGGGACTGGCACCTCTGCCCAAGAGTAAGGGGTAGGTGTTCTCTGGGAGGTAGGAAGGGGGCCGAGGTCCCCAAAAGCCCTTTGAGCTGCCATCCCATCCCATCCCCCATGGCCCAAGCCCGTTCATAACCAAAGAGCAAGGACCAGCATGACAAGGACCCAGCTTTGTTCTGCCTTTAATAAAAGATTTTGGTACCACTTGGCCCTGCCTTGTGGCCCTGTCTGATCTTCCAGGACCTGCCCAGAGCAGGGGAGCAGTTCTGACACCTACCCTTCTGTGATGCCCAAGCACACACACACCCCTAGAGGTAGGCAGGTGTAATGGCTGGAGGCACAAGTTTATTGAGCACCCAGATGCAGACAGCAGGCAGCAGAACATGGAGCTCTGTGCCGGCTGTGTGCGTCCCAGGGGAGTGCCTCACCAGTGCAGCACCTTGGCGCCATCAGCCGCCTGGGAGAGGTAGAAGGTGGCAGTGCCGTTGTACTGCTCCTGTGGGAAAGGCAGGTGGGGACTGAGACACAGAGCCCCGGGAACCCTTTCTCCCGCCCCCTGGGCTCCGGCACCTGCTCACCTGTATATGCTGCATGGCCTGGGCAGTGGCAGAGGCCTCCAGCAGGGTCACAGTGCAGCCACCAAAGCCACCACCTGTCATGCGGCTGCCATAAACCCCAGGCACAGAGAGCGCGGCCTCCACCAGCTGGTCCAGCTCCGGACAGCTCACCTCATAGTCATCCCTGCAGAGGATGGGGGAGGGGGAGTCCTGGACTCGATCCCGCCCAGCCCTGGGGACAGCCAGTACGCAGAGGTGCCTTGCAGCCAAGGCGGCCTCACCTAAGCGAGTTGTGAGACTCTACCATGAGGCGGCCAAAGGCTTTGTAGTCACCCCGGTTCAGGGCGGCCGCTGCCTGGGCCGTGCGCCGGATCTCACCCACGACGTGACGTGCTCGCTGGAAGCCCTCCTTGCTCACCAGCTCTCTGCCAGCTGGGAAGGAAAAGGTGGCAGGCTGGGTCGGGGGAGCCTCCAGTCAGAGACCTGGTTCTGACGAAGCTGTAGGCAGAACCTTTGGTTGGTGACTAAGGTTTCAGAGCCTCCCCTCCTTGGCCATAAAATGGGACACCTGCCTCACTTGGGACACAGTGATGAGTGAGCAAATGTGTGTAGAGCTCGAGTAGGGTGCCTGGCACATGGTGGGTGCTCAATAAAAAGCTGTTTAAGCCCCAGACTTTGGTGCTTCCACAGTGATGCCTTCACAAGAGGCCACTGCAGAGCAGGATGCAGAAGTCTTGCTGATGTTTGTTCTGAAGCAACAATGGAGGGTCCAAGGGCACAGCCCGGGCAAACAGGAGCAGGCACAGGGCACGCAAGGGACCCAGAGGCTGTCCCACTGGCTTATGCTGAGGCAGGGGATGGCAGGCCGAGCCAGTACGAGCAGCCCTCAGTGCCAGGGGACTTTGCTACTTAATTCTGTCTGCCTTAGAGTTTTGGAGCAGGAAAGGGACAGAGCAGAGCTCTAGCAGACAAGAGTGCCAGCCTCAGGCAGAAGGCCCACGCTGGGAGATGTGGGCACCAGAAACCGGATGGCAGGGGTTAAGCACTCAGAGACCAACAAGGGGCCTGGTGTTGGGGAGGCAAGAAATGAGGGAATGGGGTCTGAGACAAGAGTGGGAAAAAAAAGTGAGGTTTCAGAGGTGATTGACACAGGTTTCAAATGGGTGATAAGGATGAGGAAATAACACACAAGGGGAAGCCAAGAGAAGCCTGAGGGGAGGAAGGATGAGGGGCTCTGCTGTGGTCAGGGGAAGGCTCCAGAACCCCAGGTGGAAGTGGGGGCTGTGGCCAGGAAAGCAAGGAGCCACAGGCTCCCGGTATGTCCTTGCTGGAGCAGTGGTGGCGGGTGTCATGTGCTGAGGACAAAGCCTGGGCTGGGCACGGGAAGACTGACGGGGCCCATGAACAAGCAGGTCCGGCTGCTGGGGGAGAGCCGTCCACAGGTACAGGGGATCCCTGGGCGAGAGGCCTCTCCTGGCAGGGGAGAAGGGAGGGCAGATCTGGAAGAAGAAGAACTGAGTGGAGATGCTCATGGCATCAGGCACCCCTCTGAGATTGGCAAGGAGATGAGAACCAGTTTTAGGATGAAAGAAAGCTGGGCATGTGTTCAAGCAGAAGGGGAGAAGCCAGGCAGAGAACAGGAAGGAGGGAAGGTGCCAGACAGTGGGTGCAGGCTGCCAGGGCAGGCGTCTGGGGAAGGCAGAGGGGAGACCCCAAGGAGTGTTCAGAAAGGCTGCGGTGGAGGAGGGACGGCCAAAGTATTCAAGTGTGAAACCCGGCCAGTGTCACCTGCACAGAGCAGGCAGAGCGGGTCTGAACATGAGAGTTCACCAAGGAGGACAAGATGGTCCCACCGGGCGGGCCAGTGTCCCTGAAATGGGCACAGCCACACTGCCAGGGAGGTCACAACTCCCAACACCCAAAGCATGGTCCCATGGTTAAGAGCATGGGCTGTGGAGCTAATCTGCCTGGTTCAAGTTCCAGCACTGCCGCTTACTGTAGATTCCTTATCAAAAAAAGAATAGTATCTGCTCTAAAGAGTTAGGCAGAATTGAGTTGATATTTACATGACCTTCAAGCTGTTAACAGACTACCTTCCTGACCATGTGTATCAGGGACCTCAAAAATATACCTATCTTTTGACTTTGTAATCCTGCCCTTAAGAATCTAATCCTAAGAAAATAAGAGAACACAGAGAAAGACTTACGTATAACAATATTCATCACAGTGTTAGGTGGGATTATCAGAAAATGGTTAAGTAAATTACAGTGCACCTATATGCTGAAATGTTAGGTAGTTTTAAAAAGCCATGTTAATGATGGGCCTTTGACAGCATAGGAAAGGGTTCTGGGATGTTAGTAAAAAAAAAAAAAAAAAAAAAAGGCAGGTAACAGTATTGCACATACTCAACTTTGAAAATATAGATGTAGAAAAACACAGGAAGGAAATACGGTAACACTGTTAATGGTGGCTATCTCTGGGTCCTGGCATTGTAACTTATTATTTTCTTTTTCGTATCTTTCTGTATTTTCTACAGTGGAAGCCTAATTCTCATATTAGCAAAACCAATACTAAGATTGCAAGCAGCAGTGCTTAGGATGGAGTGCTGGTTTGCGGTGTTAGGGGGAGTGGGCAGAGCATGGCAGAGGCCCGCTGCAGATGAGGGCATGCACGGGAGGGTCCAGGACACAGCAAGGGCCTGGCAGCCCCACAGGGTCCCCATCCACGTCCAGGACAGAGCACACCCAGCCAGCTCTCACCCTCCAGCTCCTCCAGCTGCACCTCCCGCAGGCTCTCCTTGCCCAGTGCCCGGGCCACTTCTTCACACTGGCACCGCCGCAGTGGATACTCACTGGAGCCCAGTGAGTGGCGGACATTGGAGTTGGTGATGAGCACAGCCAGCTTGGGGTCCAAAAGTGGCACCAGGCTAGTCTCCAGGGATCTGGGATGGAGTTAGAGTGGGGAGGTGACAAAGCCAAGTGTCTGCTTGCCATGCCAAGCAGCGGGCATGCTCCACCCAGCTCCTGATGAGATGGGAGGTACAAGGGGAGCCCCTGACCTGCAGTCAATGAGCAGCGCATGGCCTTTCTGCCCCAGCAGTGCGATGAGCTGGTCCATGATGCCACAGGGAACCCCTGCGAAGCTGTGCTCGGCCCTCTGACACACCTGCGCCCGGGCAGTTACTGCCCCTGAGTCTGTGGCACAGAGTAAAGTGGGAGGCTGGGGCCCAGGGGGTGGGCAGTGGGAGCAGCGGTGCTCTAGTAACACTCTGGGGAGGCCCCACCCCGGCCCTCCTCCTGAAGCCACAGTAGGCAGAGAAGCTGACCACAGGAGACCTCAGGGAAGGAGGGCTGGGTTGAGAGCCGGGGTCTAAGGTACCTGGGCAGAGCTGCTGCAGGAAGGTATATGTGGCCACTTCCAGAGATGCTGAGCTGGAGAGCCCACCCCCCAGGGGCACTGAGCTGACCACCACTGCGCTGAAGCCAGGGAGGGGGCCAGCTATAGGGAAAGAATGGGAGATGGTAAGATGGGCTGTCCAAGAGGATAAGCACAGGAAGGGCATATAGTTTGGTATAAAAGGAGGTAACTGCCTGGCAGCTGCTTCCAGGGATGAGTCTGAATTATCAGAGGCCACCAACCTGCTGGACCAAGGGGTCTATACCCTCCATCCTCCTACCCTAAGGTTCCTGGGACATAGTCTTCCTAGTTCTCCATCTGGTTTATGGCTCTGGAGGCCAACAGGCTAAGGTCTGAATACTGGCTCCATCAATCATGTAATGGGCAACCTAGGGCAAGTTCTGGAACCTTTGGGGCTTCAGTTTCTCACCTGTACAGTGGGGATGCTCTACCCTGCAAGACTGCCTCACAGTGGATTAGCTAACAAGCTCTGGGCTGAGAGATGGCACTCCTGGCACCAACATGAACTTGACCCGGGCCTGGGTCCCATACCTGGGTAATGCTGAATCACTCCCTTGACATAGTTGGCCCAGTGGGGGGTCCCGGGCTCCAGCGACCGCTGGGCTGTGGGCAGTGGGAACTGCAGCCGTCGGGGCTCGTCGGCATCCTCAGACATGGTGAGGAGGGAGACCAGTCCATCAGCCCGGGGGCTGCCCACCAGCACAGTCACAAGGTCCAGCGCCTAGCAGGAGAGGCAAGGCGTATGCACAACTTCTGCCGCTGGACAAGGCCCCTCCAGTATGAGGCTCTGAGGAATGAGGGGCCTCAGACAGCCAGGAAGGTGACCTCCAGGCTCAACGTGAAAGGAATGGGGAGTGAGCTGGCCTTGGGGGCCTGGGGCCTGCCCTTGGGTCCTGGAGGGCGGGGCCCAGGCAGCAGGAATGCAGAGCTGGACTCTGCCCCGAGCCCCGGCTCCCAGGGCTCCAGGCTGTGTCTTCCAGCTTGGGAGGGCTCAGAAGGAGAACAAAAGCAGAAGAGTTCCACCCGATGCCTCGCCATTTGGGGCAGGCCGCAGGTTCCCCGTACCCACTCACTCGCCAAGCTGCTCTGCTGAGAAGTGCAAAGAGCCGCAGGCTGAGCGCTGGGGGGCCTGATTCTAGTGACAGTCCCATCCAGAAATAGCTGGGTGATCTTGGGCAGATCACTCGCCCTTTCTGGGCCTCAGTTTCCCCCTCTGTAAAGTGAAAGGGCTGGG